ATAGACTCCAGCCCCCCATAGTGAGGATGAAGGTGTAGAGATGATGGATGGATGCTGGTGGTGGAGGATCAGGACACATAGAGACAGCAGCAGTGAGTCCATGTGTCTCGTATTGAACCAGATGTTCACGTCTCCAGACCTCAACAAGGTTCCATCAGTGCAGCAGCATGTCAGTGACGTTTTAACCTCCTGCTGTAGCTCATTAACATAATGAATCAGTGTGAACGCTGCGTCTGCATCCAGATGTTTCCCACCGCGGTCCGTCAGCCAACCAGCGGCAGAAGTTCAGTTCTCACACAACAAATCCCTCATTAGACTTTGCTAACTGTTTTCAAGCCGGTGGAAGCTTTGTTCAGTAAAGACACGTCGTCCATCAGCAGGATGTGAACCTTCTGTGTCCTGAGGCCTCCGCTCGTCTCTGAAACAGTTTCTGAACGTTGACTCGAGAACGTTCTTCTTCAGTGATCATGGAACATATCTGACAACGTTGTCTGAGTGTTGAAACTTAGTTAACTTTTAATGTTAAAGAACGTTTTTTGAAGTGATGCCGTAAAACGTTCTTTGATTATTAGATTAAAAATTTTTTTTTTTTCCAGGGAAGTTTTTCTTCAGTTCCCAAACTAACATTCTGGGAACCTCAAACTGAAAACATTACCGGAACCTTTTCAGAACGTTATTAGAACACATAGATAAAGCTGGCATGTTGGCGTGACGGACGCTTTGCCGTCTGCTGATACTGAAAACACGAGTGTTGACCCAACAGCTCCGGATGTTCTGGCGTGGACCGACCGGTCGGACCGGACTCTTGTTGACACGCAGCGCCGAGAGAAAAGAAATCTGTCAGAAAGGTGGCAGAAAAAATCTGTAAAAGGGGTGGAATATTAAAATAACTATGAAAGAACTGTTAGAAAAACACAAATAAACGATGAAAAAACCAACATGTGTAATAGAACAGAATGCTTCTATTGTCATCGTACAACGACATGAAAAGACGAGTGGTGCAAAATACACGAATAAAAAAGACAAATATATAAATATATTCACTAAAGGAGCCAGTAGGACGTATAGTAGAATAAATACACTGCACTGTGGAGANACACTCAGCTCTGATTGGCTGTTCACTATGTCATCACTGTCGGGGGTCACTAAAGGTCATCGGATCCTTCGTGTTGTTATGAGCTGTGTGTGTCTGATGTGCTCACCAGTAAAGCCTGTGTTCATACGTTGGCTTCTCTTGACAACCACGTTTTCCTTCTAGTCTCCTAACAAACGTGGTTTCTACGGTGACAGTGCAGGATGCCTGTGTGTTATTGACCTACGCCGAGCGGCGACATCATGCTGATGTCATGCAGGTAACACGTCTCCTCTGTCTCGCCTGCAGGACGCCTCCATCGCCCACCGCTTCCACCTGATGAGGGAGAAACACCCCGAGAAGTTCAACAGCAGGTCAGTCCATGAAACGCCGCCGCCGCCGTCGTCATGGCGATAGTTAACAACCGAGCAGCACTTTAATCAGCTTCAGATCAATACCAGCAGAGATCAATACATCAGCTGATCTGTTACACTGGCTCAGCTGGATGTATCTCCAACAGCTGGCTGCTCTGTTCTCTGGTTCTGATCCGTGCTGCATTGATTTATTGATCCAGTAGGTTGGATTCAACCTGAACACATTCACATGACTGTCGATCACTTTGGACAAACTTTCACTCATTTAGAATCATTTTCCAGTCAGTTCGGACCACTGTGTCTGCTTCTGAGTCACTTTTGCCAAATTATGAGTCACCTTGAATAATCTTTATGATCCCTTTTAACAGCTGTTCCATCAACGCGTGATGCATCTCTTTAATCTGGAAACTCAATTTCACACCGAGCCACAATCAATAGCAGAACAAGCCCTGCTCAGGGATCAATATCTGGGCAGCGCCGGCCCGTCTCTGACACGTTCAGCTCTCTGGTTTATTGGTCCAGCTGATCACGAGCTGGTTGTTGAGTGAAGGCCGATGGAGTCGTTCTATAGCAGCTCATTGAGTGTTAGTGATGCTGGAAGCTGCTCAGTGTGAGAGGCCAGCAGGCTGATCCAGAGTCAGGTTAAAGAAACATCTCCACTACAAGGAGCTGCGAGGTGATGAAAGGCAGGAGGCC